TGCATTTTAAAATTTGGGTCGCTACAGTCGCTCTTTTCCCGAAGTCATCTTCAGTTCACCTTCCCCTGACCCTTGATTTTAGAAGTTACTGAATTTTCTATGAGCAACTTCTTTCCTTTCTCAATTGTTTCGAAAGTAGCAAAACAACTCTTTATCAGAGCACACATGCCTCGTAGCGCCGGTGTCAATCCATCACTCTTTTGGGTTAGAGCCCACCATGTTCACTTCGGAAATGACAGCTACAAGATTCATTTTTGACACATCGAAGACTTGTGGCCTATTTTGTCACAATTGGAGCATTTTTCTTGATATTTCTTCTTAGAAATGCTCCCTTTTAGTCCCAGCTTAGCACATTTGCTACGAGATATCCTGGACTTGTTCTTAAATGTCTTAGAACATTGACCGTGCTCAGCAACATTGGCTTTAGCCACAATAAGATTGAACTCTTTCTTTTCTGATGTTCTGTTGTCTTCTTTAATTCTAAGTCTAACAATCAGTTTTTCAACGTTCATTTCCTTTCACCTGTGCTTAAGATAATTCTTGAAATCTTTCCACGTAAGTGGCAATTTTTCAATAATTGCAGCAACTTGGAAAGTTTTACTTAAAATCATCCATTCGGCATGAATCTCGTGAAGAATCACTTGGAGTTCTTGCACTTGACTGATTACTGCTTTAGACTCAACCATCTTATAATCCAAGAATCGACCGACAATGAATTTCTTAGTCCCAACATCCTCACTCTTATATTTCTGATCAAATGACTCCCACAACTCCTTGGCAGTTGTCAAAGTACTATACATGTATAGCGAATCTGCTAAACTATTCATAATGTAATTTCGGCATAGAAAGTTCGAATGTTTCCACGCATCCAGTGCACTGACAGCTTGAACATCATCCTCACCCTCTTTAAATTTCGGAGCAGACTCAGTAAAGAACCTCACAAGATTCAAGGTGGTCGGGTAAAATAACATTTTCTGTTGCCACTTTTTGAAATTCAATCCATTGAATTTCTCCTACTTTTCTCCATGATTCACCGGAACAGTAATGACATGACCAATTGGTTGAGCCACAGTCTGGCTCATAGCATAACTTGGCAATTTAGCCACGACAGTATTGAGGCACAACAAAACTTGGCCCTTGAGCTACAGCAGAACCCACAACCTGGTTTTCAGTAGTCACAGTTTGAGTTATGTCCATGTTGGTTGATTTGGTTGCCATTTTTGAAAATCAAAAATTAGTTTCTGAAATCAACAATATAGGAAACTATTTTTTCTTCGAATATGTTTTAAATTTGTTAGATAAAATAGAATAAATAATCTAAATAGTAGATAATAAAAATTCAATTAAACTTTAAAAATCGAGGCCTGTGTGAATACAGTTCCTTAAAATAGGTTAGCCCCCTCACTGTAGGTGCTTGAGATTTAATTTAAGCGTCCGTTTCCCAATATACAACGGTAAACCGGTAGAGTCCGAGCACTATAGATTCTACTCTGACTAACTGACTTAATATCTGAACAATATCACCATCAAGACCTGGACAGACAGTAAATTATGTATGCATACGGAGATTTTTCGTGTGTTTTGGAACTGTAATGCAGACAGTGTATTCTTCATATCGGAACAGTGGAAAAATGAGGCTTCATTAGACTTAACCTCGGTAATGACGAGTTAAATCTATCCATTAACTCAATGACAATAACTATTGGAGTTTCAACAGTTTTAAACATTAATGACAATAATCATTGGAGTTTTAGCAGTTTCAAAAACCAAAAATCAGTTGTTGAAAGCAAAATGTAGGCCCTCCTAATGAGCCAATTTTTGATCAATTCGGCCTGACATTCGTGTACGCAGGTCACGTCCACACACAAGTTCAAGGTCTGAAACCTATTTCGATCCGTGATTTGCACCCCCCCTACGTGCGCACGTGGAGAGAGTATATATACTACACATGATTACACACTTCCAAAGTATAGATATATATAAAGTGATTCTTACTTTCATAAACTTCCTACGTGGGATAAACTCAAATTTAGTTTTCCCTCTAACATAAACAATATTCCAATGGTTCACTTTGAACTCCAATTTCTCATTCACCCGAACTTCATTTTTTTTAAGTAAATACATGATTTCGATATTCTTGCAAAGGAGAACACAAATCAATGTTGATTTTTCAAAATAAGCAAACGAGTCCCACTCAAAATTTATGTCGAAATCAGTCATTCACCTCATTTTTTTCCAACACTTGTGTGCTTTTACAATTACAAGATGATCGTTTTCTTGAGCAATGTTGTCACAATATTCCATGATTTTGAGTCCATCATATCTATGTTCAGTAGTTAGATAGAATTTACATTAAACCAGAAGTAATCCAAATCGTGTTAAGATGAGCAAATACATGTTGGCTATGGTTGTGGGATCTTGGCTCTAAGTAGTTGTGGAGCAACCTCACTATGTTTGTTTTGAGTTTTGTTTGTTTATTTAGCTTAGTTTGCGATGGACAAAATATATTATTATCGGGCAAGTAAGTTGTCACTTTTTGAATCCGTTTAACTAATTTTATGAAGTATTTTTCGTAGTTAGAAGAGATTTCAAAGGAAGTTGGTCCAATGTGGCTTCCTTTAAAATTATTTCCGAAATAAGAATTGCATTTAAAAATTATTTTTCAAGCAAAAATTAAGATAATTTTCTTCAAAAACTCTTCTACAAGAAGCAAAAATTATGTCAAACGGACCCTAAAACAAAAGTGACGCTAGACATGCCTAGTTAGAGGTGACAATGAGCCTGGTCGAGTATACACATGAGCTCGGCTCATGCTCGTCACGAGCCGAGCTCGTGGCTCGTTGGCCGAGCTAAACTTTGGCTCGCGAGCTCGTCAATTTTATTTTTAAAATAATCTTTTTTTGAAAAAAAAAAAAAAGGATATACCATTCGATTGGATGAGCCCACGAGCCGCTCGCTCTTGGGCGAACCGAGCGTGCTCGACTCGTGCTCGGGCTCGTCC